GAAGGCGTAAAAAAATGTAGAACAAAACAAACCAATAAAACGAATATCCAGCTCTCACCATTGGAGATGGCTTGCGTGTCTGCCAGCTACGTGTATGTATCTCAAGAATGCGCCGACGGGTAGCTTCTCCGGGCAGATGAAAGACAAATTCGCGATCGAACCGGCCAGGCCGGCGCAATGCAGGATCGATTGCATCAGGACGGTTCGTAGCACCGATTACCACTACTTCGGCTCGTCGATCCAGTCCATCCATTAAACTGAGCAACGTTGACACTATGCTTGAGTGTATTTGGTCCTGTAACAAAGGCAAGGCGTAGGAAAAAAAATACATTTACAATGAGCACCGGATGTAAGGAAACTAGTACTAATGAAAACACAATAAAAGTGGAGCCAAATTGCCTTATATATCTGCAATAACTTAGAGTCAATGGTTTGAAAGCCTCAATTTGAAGGGCTAGCGACTATAATATTCAACCAGCGAGGATAACAGTATAGGCCATCAGAGAAAATTTAATGATTTGGAATTCCGATGATGGCTAGAAAAAAATTATAAATTAATGCATCTGATTAAATTGGATGAAAGGGATTCAATCAAAAATAGAAAGACGACTACCTTTGTGTTGCTATTAGTCCGTCTGTAAATCTTAATGATCGATTCGAAGGTAATCGTTTTCAAACTCAACCTTCCGAACCCGACGAGACAGAGTTGAGGCTACTTTAGCAGATCAAGACGGCAAGCCAAAAAGCAAAATATATAAAAGAAAAACTCACCGTACGTACTTATCACTAGTATTCATCCATGCATCTTGTAAATCTACTCTGGTCATGAGGAAAAATTGATTATTTGGGTAACATAGGGCCATGTGTTTGTTAGCGCAATAAAAGTGAAATGCATTCGCAGATAAGACCAAGATTGTGACCTATTGTATAGTCAGAGTATTTATTCGATACGGAATTTATTTTGTATTTTCAATATGAATCTGTGGAACACGAATACTGTGGTAGATACCTTGAGATGAAAGGCGTTCACCTACGTCCCTCAGACAACAATCATGTATCCAAACCTTTGATTCGCTTTATCAACTTGGCCTAGTTCTTCGAAGTCTCTAAAAATATGAATGTTTCGGATATAAGGGTTCGAATCGACTCAATTCTAGTATAAGACATCAGCATAGAGAAAACAATTTGAATTTGAATTTTTTGTGAGGAAGTAAGAATCCCTTAACTACAATTCTTGCAATGGAATACCAAACATTGGATAAGTATCGATATGGAAAATCGCATTTTAAATCAAATTTAAAATTAGGAATGCCACAACTATAATATGGGCTTACTGGAAGTGTGATAGCATAATTTGAATTTGTAAAATAAACACAAATGAAGACAAAAAAAGTCGCAAATACGGGAAATAAAAAAGTATAGGCATATTAGGTGGCAGTCAAAGCTTACTTCAGAACATATTTTTTTAATAATTTAGATAGTCAACAATTTTTTAATTGCATAATTTGTGAATAAACCAACCTGTCTCGAGGAGCGCACAGGAGCAAGCCCATCAATTTCATCGAAGAAGATTATCGATGGGCGCATTCTATATGCTTGGTCGAAGAGGAGGCGAAGTTGTCGCTCCGACTCTCCCACCCATTTAGATAAGCAATCGGCCCCTTTACGCATGAAAAAAGCAATCGATCGGCGGGAATCTACAGGAAGTGAATTGTTTGCGGGGGAGAGAAGACGAGTACATTCGTTGGCAAGAGCTCGGGCCAGAAGAGTTTTTCCAGTGCCTAGGATCAAGCAAAGTATGGGGCGAAAATTCTTAGAGTAAAGCAAGTGCTAACAGCAAAATTTAAAAATAGGATAGAAATAAAATAAAGATATTATGAGACATGCAAAGCTATGATACTCGCATATCAAGTTAACATAAAATACGTAATGATATTTGAGATGCTCGTAAGCATAAATAGTAAAAACGACGAATAATATCAGTGAACAATGCATAATTTCTAATTCTGCGAAATTTTTGTAGAATAAAATAAATAGGAATGGCCGATCAGCTTTAAAGAGTTTGATCAAAGTATTAAGGTAGAATAGCTAAAGACATATAATAGAGCATAACCGTGGCATTGTGCCATCTAGCAATCAAGATGGAACCGAGTGAGTCCAAAAATGTGCAGAGGGGCGGCGCCCAACTATACATTAAACATCCTGACAGAGGAATGCGATATAAGATATTTAAAAAAAGATATGAGGTGGAGCAACTATAAAGACAAGATTTCAAATATTCTTTTTGTAAATCAAAACGCTCCAATGAAACACAATCCGGTAAATACATATATTGGACTAGTTCTGACTGTTTTAACGGTAAGCAAGAAGTTTGTTATGTGGATAGTCGACGAAATACAAGAAAACATTAGGAGGGCATTTTTATTCTTTTCAGGTAAATCATATAGGCAATCCGGGTCCAGCAAAGATCAGATGAATATTCCTCTCGATTAAAAAAAGTTGCGAACTGGTGGTTGCAATATTGTGATGTCTCATTTCGCCCTTTCGTTGCTGCCAATATTTGTCGTCTGCTAAAAATCTAGTATGGTTTAATAACATCCAACTGTGTCATGTGATCATTTCGATTTAAAAGCACTAATGCTCTTATTAGAGAAGAACCAGTTTGTTCTTAATTCTATCCAAATGTTTGTATTTCATAAGGTAAGTGCGCAGA